ACACTTGTGTGAGCTTAAACGCTGCCATGAAATAGGGGAGCTGCTAACAAGCTCAGGCCAGAAGTGTCAGAAAATGAAGCTCTTTCCCACCAAAACATTCTACAAGGGTGTAATTCTCTTCTGGTTAAAAAACAGGATTTGGGAAAAGAACTAGGAAAACCAACATCACAGAAGTCACTCCAGAAACTCCAGAGGAGCTCTGAGTGTGTTATTCTGTTGGTAAATATTATTTCAGCATTTTTGAGCCTTTTTCTAGCAGCTATGGTTGCTGCCAATCTTAGCAAGTCTCCCAAAACACACCTTAAGAAACAATCGCTAATTTGCTAAAGCAGGCTGTGAGGGGCTGTGCTTTACAGTGATTTCATCATGGGCGAGAAGTTTTTGTCATGTAATCATAACCATATAGCTGTGTTTAACCTTTAATGACGTAAGAACTAATCTACGTCTGATTCATGGATCTTTTGTATGACATGGAAACAAGCAGAGATTTGAAAGCAAATTACGAATCAGCTTTAAACACCAGCTTACCAGCACCTCATTTACATATCATTTCCATTATTCATGCAGATGTTTTGGTAAGCAGCCAATAAAACTGACCACATTCAGCTGTTCATTAGCATTGCCGTAACTAGCTGTGTGGACACCGAGGTCCAGATCTTCATCCAACGTGGGAGTTTCCCATGTTTCTCTGATAACGTGGTAGCCTACAGGCGTCACGTTGGAGATGGGAATGGAATATTTATTCCACTACAATAAGATAATGAAATTTAATTTGTTTTTTGTGGGCACGGTCTCCCTCACCAAGGTCTGTCTTATTTTCCTCAGCCTTCCAGTCACTGTATAGCAACCGCTGCTATCCACCACTGCCCTAATCCTTCAGTTCTTTATCTGCGATCGTCACGTTCGTAACTTAGCATGAGAAAACCAAGGTCCTTTGTACTTTTTGAAGGCTTTAATAAGATTTAATGTCAAGACTACAGACCCAGCAGTGGCTCTCAGCAGACCTCAGAACAGCTGTGGTTTGGCCGAACTCTTGCTATGTTTACCTCTGTACAAGACGCTGTGCTAATGCTACCCAGAGTTATGTTCAGGTACACAGCACACATACTATAGTAAAACCTATGACATTGCTATAATATGAATGTGGGAGTTTATGAGGGTAATTAACAGAATGTGCCTGTAAAATGCAAAACAAATAATTCTTTTTTTTATTTAGAGCATAAGTAATGTTGCTAGCTAAGTCAGTATGCTTTAGCCTAGTTGAGGAAGTAAAGAATCCCATTGTGTTCCATAAAGAGAAGAAAAACTCTGTGATCATAGGAGGGTAAGGCCACATCAGCTAATTAACACAGATGTGAACAATGCTAGCCTTTAGATAACTTTAGCTAATGTTAACAGCCGAGAGATAAACAGTCGTCCCCCTAACGGAGCTGCAGACAGCCGCTATAACTTTACTCTCTGTTTCTGGAGATTTAAATGACGTTTGAATGGAGAAACATAAACGTTAAATATAAGACTGAATGTCGTGGGTCGGAAAACTATGTTGTGTTTTGACAGACGTGATTTTGTAAGTTTGCTAGTGCAGTTAGTTCAGCTCCAGTACTGCAGCCCCTGCACTGCATAACTTGCAGTTTCCCTGGTTAAAATACCTGATATTATAAGCTAATTAATCTTCTGCTGAACGAGGTGTCACATAAAAGCTAGAATACCTGGTAGTATAGTCATTTTGCTTTCTGTTCGCAACAATTCCTTTCACTCAAAAAGGTACAATAACCAACGTTTCATAAAAATCTGGACCGGTTACAAGTTAACACATCTGAGGAGTGTCTGAGGTAATCCAAGGCTCACAACAATTGCAGAATCATAAATGAAGTGTGAAGGCTATCACATTCTGAACTGGTCAACCCAATCAATCAGGTACAGCGACACACAGCGCAAGCTTTTGTTTGACTCCATAGTAACAGGGCTGCTTCGTCTGAGGCCTAAATGTTCCCTCCTGATTCTCACACGCAGGTCACAATGCACTGAAGCTTTGCACTGCATAATCCAATCTTTTCTTTATTGGTGCCAACTGCAGAGAGAGCTGCTTATGGTCTCTGGAGTGAAAACAGCACAACACAAATTCACATAGTCCAAGGACAGGTCGCCCTGCCCATCTGAACACTAGGTCTTCCTGTGAAGTTGTTTTGCGAGCATTTTATTTGGCCAATGAATCTGTTCACTTCATCAAAAGCTGCTGGGGAACCAAACCTTAGAGTTTTTATTGTTATTTTGCTTTGCTATTGAAAAGCTATTATGCAGTGACACCTTTAATTACACATTAGTTACATCATGAATGGACTGAGTCTGCACCACAAACAACAAAAATGTAAAGAATGTCTTATTTTGGCAAAACAAGACTTCTACTTGCACACACAAATGTGGCATTGATAAAGGCTGGGTGCTAGAGAGATGCAATCATTGGATATCACTGATAATTGACAAGTAGCCCAATGCTTAAAAGTGCTTAAAGACATGTGTCAATGTTTGGAGACTCAGTAAACTGTTTGCCCAACAGTGTTACTTTAAAAATGTGTTCTGGTACTAATCACCTGTTTGAAAAAGTAATCTGTATTAATCCAAAAGCATAACTATACTAAAGTAAGATAGTTTCATCACTTTCTGTTCCTTTTGCTTTACTTGTCCTGTTAAAGTTGCATTATTAAATAAAAAAAAAGAGAAAAATAATGTCGACAGGGCGGCGTTATCACTGTTTCACGAAGCAAAATGACAGAATACTGCCTAACTATCGGTGCTTTATATCCAAATCAAAAGGTCAGTTTGGTAGACATCTTCTTTTGAAACTCCTCATCAACAGTAATTATAAATAGAGGACATTCTAAAAACTCTGATTGGCCATCATTTGTGTTCTATCTGCTAAAAGGTCTGTTCTAAGGCCATTCAAAAAGGTATGCCATGCTTGGGTGCTTCCTCAGTTCTCAGCAAACCGACATGTTCTGTGAGTTCTGTGATTGAAGGCATTCAAGTGGGAGTAGATTATGTTAGTTATAGGTAATGATACTTCACACACATTAACACTTCTGTTGAGCAGCCATCGCTCTTAAACTATTGACAAAAGACTTGTGACATATATATCACTAAAAATAGCTGATTCCGAAACATGGCAATGAGTTTGCGTGTATGTAATGTAATCCCACTTCTAATCACCTAGTTTTTATAATCTAACTGTAATCTGATTACTATCTGTAACAGAATAGAGTTACCTTTTTTGTGTCCTGATTACATGGTAACGTATGTATTCTGATACTACTCAACCCTGTTGACAAATAATTTTTAATAACAATGTAAAGTCATATACATTTTATATTATTGTTACAGACCAGGGATTAAAACATTTTGTTTTTCTTTTACTTGCTTTACTTTACTCTGTTCGTAAAGCATGTGGACATGGTTTTGTAATTCCCTCACTTGCTTGCGTTCATCAGGCTGAAAATTCTCCACTAGGGGCAGCTATTAGCACACAAGTAGCTTTGGTGTGCATTATTGAAAGGGAGGAAACTGACATAAACCAACACCAGCAGATTTCTGGCAGTGCACGTGTTTGCAATCACACATTTCAAATGGGTCTTTTATTATCTAAAGGAGTTAAATATCTTTAATATTCAATATTATTAAACATTTGTAATGTTATTTTCATGTAATCTGTTCATTTTAAAAAGCACAAAAAGCATGTAGCACATTAAAAAAAACGTGATTTCCACATGGCTGGTGACATAAGTGATGATCCTCATTTTGTAACAAGAAAATATTAATATATATTTTAGCCAATTATGAACTGAAGGTTTAAAGTGAAAGAATTAAAGGAAGTTTCTCTTCTTGATGTGAGAAATAATCCACTTAAAATTACAGTGTGCTTTGATTATTGCCAGTTATAACTGGACTTCTATGAGATAAAAGAGAGAAAAGGTACTATCGTTACAGCCGGACACTAAAGTTCTTGTATAGACCATGCACCTCGTCTAGACTCTGTTCCCACTCTAGTTTATATTGAGCTCTGTCTGTTCTTTGTCAAGAACGGTCAGAGGTCCCTGAATGATGTACTAATACAGCAGCGTCAGGCTACATTTAGTGCAGGTCAGCTCATTAGAACTTCGAATTCATAACAACTCAATCTCTGAAAGGAAGTATCGCTCCATTTCACACTTTAAGTAGCGTAGCATGGCTCTAAACACTGCTCTCAATGATTTACTGGTCACAGAATTAGTCACAGAGAGATAAGCCTATTTGCTGAGATAAACCTTTGATATTTTTTTTTCACTCAGCACCCAGGCACGCTCATGATCATAAGGGATCTCCTTATGTAACAAACTGTACTAGATGTTAATGTGATAGGCGACAACTTTTCTTGCTTCAGATGCATTTTGAGATGCAATTACTAGGTGTCAACACTGCATCCTCAGAATTGACATTAGCAGAAAGATGTCTGCAGTTACTTGGTGTAGGTACTTTAATACAGCACAATCACAACACAGCTGCCACTGGACTGAGGCCATTGCTTGGAACCCCCTTTGAATTATTAGAAGTACCCTGATCTACCAATTTTAAAATAACGCAAGTCCATTGCACGCAAAAGGAAATGTAATTTAGGTCTCAGCTCACATGTGAAGCGATCACTCCACAGGACGTAACCCAAGCTGTTTACGTCTGCCTGGCTGAGGCCTGCGTGTTTAATACAGTGTCGAACAAGCTGAGATAATTGGGGCTATGCAGCAAACATGGAAATAAGTGACTTCAACATTCTTACAATTATAAATTCTTCCAATTTTACTACAACAGTAATGATACAGTGGTTAAAACTGACCCCAAGTCCTCCAGAAAGTGAACCATAGTGCTGAAACAAAGGCTGTTCTTAGCGCAGATCCTATCAAGATGTAACTGTAGCAGCTCTGATGCGTGTTAGCAAAGAGGCTAACAGTGAAAAGTCTATGAATAGGACTGACCTCTGGCGTGGAAATCTGCAGTTAGCAGGCTAGCAGGTGGCTTCTTCACGGCAGCAGAGCGGTACACGATGTGAGGACGGCCATCACCTCCATCCTCTTGCTCGATCACACGTTGTCCCGTCTCCACCGGCTCGATGAAGAACTCCTCCTGCTCCGTCCGGATCATTCCCGCCTGGGCCAGAGAGAGGAGACGGGAAGTAGTTGTGTGTGTTACAGTGAAAAATGTATATATCATTGTATAATTAACATATCTAATTGTATATTTACATAAATATTTTTTAGTAAAACTTTACAAGAAGTACGCCGATTTTTGTGGGTTAACAGTGGTCAATTATTGTGGAATATTTCTTTTAACAAACAAAATAAAAAACAAAGTGGACTACTTCAGACATTACAGACTAGACAGCGGGAAGTGATCAAGGGTCCGCTGTGTTTTATTTTCATTTAAAATATGACCAAAACATCCCTGACTCAGCCACCCAGCTATAGAGGTTTATATGTCACATTATCTGTACTTATTTGCATACTTGTGTAATTATGACAAAATTCAGTGGTGTACCAGATAAACCACTGTATCGCCCACTTCTAATAGTGGGCATACAGAAAAATACTCTATAGTTGCTCTTTAAATTGACAAATGAATAAAAAAGTCCAAAATGTTGTTACGAAATCATTTTGTTTCCTTCTCCTATTCAGTTAGATAGAAGAAAAACGATATTCTTAAGACAGCAATGTTCTGATGGAGTCCAAATTCCCTTTTCCCTTGGATCTCTTGGTGCCAACACTGAAGCTAAAAAAAATGCTAGTGAACACTGGCAACACAAACAATGCCCTTTCACTCCAGCTCCTCTGGGGAACATAACCTTAACATTTTTGGAAATCTATAACACCTCTACCAAAAAAAGAACGAAGCAAACAAGGCCAAGAGCACAGAGAAAGAGAGTACAATGTACACAGTGCAATATGCACTCATAGCACTGAGTTAACCTCCATTTGTGTTTCTGGCTATGGAGATGCACACAGAGACTGGAGAACATGGCTACCAGCCACACCATCAAACAGGAATTTGTCCACAGCCTATCTAAAGCGTTTCAACAGTTTGGAAAAGAGAGCACAGAACTGAAATGCTGAAACTAAAAGTTTCTAAAAGTCTCTAAAAGTTAAACAAACAGCACCATATAACAACATCTCCTAAACATTAATAGAACAGCTATCAAACAAGTCTTTTATTAAGCACAGAGTACAAGGACTCAAAACGTCAAACGCTTGTCACAACAACCACTGACAAAAATACAAAACTATCTTGCTTATATACGATGTGATCTACTTAGCTCGATGGTCAAAAGTGACCACTGCCCATTCGGTTACGCTTTCAGGTATTTAGATATCTAACATGCAAAAAATCGCTGACATATGGAAGCTAGTTTGCTCGGTATCAGTGATCATTTCCCCTTCAGGTCACTTTGGCTAACGTGCTAATCTACTGTGAACGTTCTAAAATTTGCTCACTTACTACATTTTCAACAAACACATGGTTGGACTAGGTAAAGGGTTCTGTGTGGAACCATTTCAGGCTTAAATAGTTCTTTGCATGGTGAAAAGGCTTTTCTGATTGATAGAGAATGTGCTGGTTCTATACAGCACCAAAAAGGGTTTTATGATTGCTGCAAGCTTGACATCGTAACTTTTATCAAGCTGTGTAACGACTGTCAAGTACCTTTTTTGGTGCTACATTCAACCATTTTCACAAAGGTTCTATATAACAGTCCAACTGAAAGCGCTGACCTGCTACCATCCAGAAGCTAACAGGCTGGACAACCGCACATGCTAACCGCTAAGCACTTTACTACAGCACTTCCAGCTACAGTTTTGGTGTGTGTTCGCCTGTGCAGCTGATGCTTCCTTGACATGATCTGCAGTGAGAGGGCAGCGATGAGAGAGCACTCATGCACTGCAGCCCAAGCGGAGCGTGGCTGGAGATCACAGTGCAGAAACGTGCTAAAAGATCCATATGTCAGGCCGTGTTACGCAAGAGGCCTCAGAAGGGTGGATACCCTGCCTGACCTTCTCCACTGTCAGAGGGACAAGAGAAAGAGAGAGAGCACAGGATTGAGTATGATAGAGGGATTAGAGGTGCATGATCGGAATCAGCTAGGATCACAATCAGCTGACTTTTGCTCCTAACGCTAAATGCAAGGTGCGAAATACAGAGGGTAACCATTTTGTTGTCATTGAAGCTAGAATCAGCACCACTGTGGCAAGTGAGCAGCCAGCCAATGCTGGATTAGGAACCCCTGAATACCAGGGGGTATTTCACACACTGGCTGCGTGTCCACTTCGGGACCCCCCTGCTGGCTGATAATGGGCATTGTTGTTTTGTTATGGAAATAAAGGAACCATATGGAACATATGGAGAACAAAATAACTTCTTCTTCTTCAAAAACTTCTTCCTTTTCAGAATGTTGTCATCCACAAAAGTTAAAATTAAGCTTGCTCAACCTCAATAGCAAGCTAGCTACCTTAGTAAGTAACTTTAAATTCTGCATGGTTTAAAAATTGCTTTAATACTTGAGTTACCTAAACTTTATCCATTCAAACAACAACCCTCCAAATCCTCACTGTAAACAGCTAGATATAAGCCGGATACTTTCATTATTGTGTTAAACCATCCTGGATTTCAATTACTGTGTTAACACACTGTCAGCAGACCATCTGAGCATGTTTTCAGAGCACACGGAAAACAGAGCGATAGATACACATGACAGGGCTCTGAAATCTGATTGGCCACCCCAAAATTTCCACCATGTCATTGGCTTCAACTTGTTGCTTTAACAAGTTAATGAGGTGATGGAGTGTGAATGGAGAGGTTCTGCACGTTGGAGTTGAGGTGGCTCAGAGCCAGGCTCAGGCTGCCAACGTACTGAATGGCGGTCCGAGGAGTTACCACTGCGCCACTTCACAGGCGAAAAAACAACTCAGTGAATGGGAATGAAAAAATGGCGGGAAAGGGCAAACAAAGGGGACGCTGAAAACAGTGTGCTCAAACAAAGGCTGAGATAGAAACGTAAAATAAAAGATAATCAGAAAACAAAAGACACTTCCTCTGTAATTAGGAGAGGAATATCAGCTTTATGTTTCACCTGTTTGCTCTTTGTGGAACAAACACTGTTTGTTTGGCTTGGAGCCGTTTCTTATTTAAGCCGTCTTTTTGTCTTTTAAGTAGTTTTGGGGCAATTTCTCTTTTTTAGCCCTCTTTTCTTCTTTTTTTGTTGTTTTGGGGCAATTTCTCTTTTTTCCAGCCCTCTTTCCTTTCCTTTCCTTTCCATCTAAATACCCACCTGAGCTAAGTACCGTACCAGTCACCCCTCTACAAAGGTATGGTAAAGTGCTGCTGTTTGCCACGGCCTTAAGTTGAGGAGTCCACAGGTGTGCCAGGTTGGGCCTAATCAGCCCGAGGGCTTCTGGCAATTGGAGTTCCCTGAACTTGTGGCACCTTGCCGCCGTCGCCCACTGCTGGCAGCTGGTGGCACAGGCTGGACCCTTATCGTCTGTAGTGTCAACCAATCCTAACTGCTAGCCTAGCCACTAAGCTACAGGATAATAAGTACAGTCAGGCTAGCATTAGTGTAACTCTTACTTAGTCGTTCAATAACATCATGAAGAACGTAGTTATTCTATCTTTATTCAGCACAAAATGAAAGCCAAAGACAACATTTTTATGCTTTCAGTCAGAGAAAAAGAGCCTGACTGAGGTACGTTAGCCAGCTAGATAGCCAGCTTCCTTTCTAACCTCATCTCATTTCTGCCATTTGAGTAATCCATAACAATGATTTGAAGACAGTTACCACAGTTTTCTGGCTGCAATAAGATTACTGGGCGTCCTAGCAGTAACATTAGCTATCTGCCTTTTTTCTGCATTTGCTGGCAAATGAAAGCAAAAATCAAACAGCCTGCAGCTGTAGTTTCTCAGAACTTCCCTCCACCTTCAAGATAGATCATTAGAAGGGGGTCTTTCTGGCCTTTAAACCAGAGAATCACACAGCTGTAGGATACAAGTAGGCTTGTTTTCTTACTTTGGCCAAAATGTCCCTTATAATATGTTCCGATACAGTCACTTCTTTGGATGATCATTTTATCAATATAGCCCAGCACTAGGTTATGTTTACTGTTTGAATTAACAGTAAATGAACATTGGGCCTCATTCACCAATATCTTCCTAAGTTTTTTCTGAAATGTGTTCTTGAAAAAGGTCCTAAGAAAAAGTCTACGTCAGATTCATGACGTGTTTTTAAACCACAGAACTCTTCACACCTTTGCTGCTCTTGAGTGTGTGTAGATTCTGTTCTTACCTCAGAACAAATCCCGATAGAGAAAACACTGGTGAATGTCAGAATCTTCGAAAAAACTGCATAAGTGGGTTTCAAGAAGAAATTTCTTCTTAAGAAAGGTTGGTGAATGAGGCCCAATGTTACTGTCTTTGTAGCTGAAGGTGTGACTGCTAAAAAATTGCCAATTTGGCTTTAAAGAAAGTGGAATTGTCCATAAAAATTCACGACTGGCGCACTCCTAAGAGGAATACAAGTGTAGGGCGAGATGTACCCTGTCTGGAGGGTGAAAGAGTGGCACCTCATGGCAGCGTTAGCAGGAGATAAGAGCGCTAGGTGCAGAGTAGGCACTAACACAGTGTCAGGTAGCACATCCCCCTCCTCCACTACCTCTCTCTATCTCTCTTTCTCACTCTGGCTCTCCACTCCAAAACAAAGCGCTCCGAAAATTGCCCGTCACTCTCCCTAATTCCATCTGTCTGTTTAGACAACTGGTAATTACCAGCCCTCCCGACAGCCCCCACGCACCAACCATGAGGGAGATCTCAATGCAGCAACACTCAGACACACACACACAAACACAGAAAGTGACACGCTCCACACACGTTGTCATTCTGTTTCTTCTCGATCTGAAAGACCGCACGTTTGAGGGTGAATGATGCCACGATTGGGGCGCACTGAGAGGAATAGATGGGCCTTTTGTGAACTTAACTGCAGCCTTTCTGTCATAGCGGTTCCTCGCTGCTACGTCACATTTAAGAGTTTATCAGCCTGCTTCAGTGAGCAGAAAGTAGTTCAGAGGGAGAGCAGAGCTAATAACTAACTATAAAGGAGAAGATTACATGTT